CTTTATTGTTCTTATTCTAATAGAAAGAAATGTCTCTGAAAACAATATAAATATTTAGAAATTTGGTAGGAAAGTCGAAACATGGCCGATTTCTAGATTTTGTTGCCAATTTAACGATTCCTTTAAAGCTTATTTTAAAATAAAATTACTATTCCTGTCGTCAAACGGAATGTGGTCATGCAACAAAAGTGGACACAATATGTGCAGGAATTTCCCCCTTTCTTTTTTGGACCTGTTATATTTCTTTTAGTGCTCTGGAGTTACTTAGCCGAACCACAAAATGTGATATGCTTGTCCCGAAAGGGTTACAACCTCTTTCCTCCGCAGAATTACCTTGTGAACACGTTGCTCCAGTATAGCCTGGAAAACACTGACACTCCATCGTACCATTGTTATCCGTACATACACCATTCAAACATGGTTCGGTTCCATCTGCTCCACATACACCAGCGATACGAGCTGTAAAAAAAAAGAAGGTCAATTCAAATATTTCTCTTTAATATAAAATATTTACAATTCTTGATGTTATTACCTCCGTTAAACACGTATATTTTTGCTTTCATGACTTCCACAATCTTCCATTCTAAATTTCTATTGTTGTTTTGTATCCAGTTAAAATCAAATGATCAAGGCGCATACGGTAAAACATACCATTGCTCTTTCTAAGGGTCCTGCAGTTTCATTACGCCACCAAATGCCAGGTACCCAGTTACACCTGGGTGGAGAGTGGCAAATGTTGTATAAAGAAAGAACATGGAGTTAAATATACTGTGAAGAAGATGAAAAGTATAAAAACAAAACAGAACAAAACAGCAGCATACAAAGTATTTAAATGTATGTCGGTAAACGAAGCATTCCTCTTTTACTAGCGACATTCTTCTGATTTTAGAAAATGAATTGGCTAATAATCCTAACCTTGATTGATCACCATTCCAGTAAGAGATTGAAAAGAGCCAACAATTTCGTAAGCGCTTTCCGACCGATCTCTTACGATAATAAGTTTGTATCTAGTATCAGTGATATAGATATCATCGTCAGATCCCCGGACTGCTATACTGAACGGACTAAGATCAACACCCCATCCTGCAGAGACGTGTCGTATACGATAACTCCCGTCTAATAGCACCGATTCTACGAAGTCGTGGTACGCTTCACACCAGTACAAACGTTCCTCTGCGAAAATAATTGAACCATGTTTGAGGAATATGTATTTTCTTTCTTCTTAAAAAACGAATTGTGTAATATGCACAACCGATGATTTGATTGATTTCTTTTCAAATTCATTGATGATAATGGCAACAAAAATGAAAGTAATAATAGTAACAACAACGACGATGATCAAAATAATAATAATAATAATACTAATAATAAATATAACAACGATAAAAATAAGTATATAAAAATACCAACAATAATAATTAATTAATAATAGTGATAATGAAAACAACGTAACAGTATTAATAAATATCAATGCATATACAGCATTTTAAGAAATAAACAAAATTGAAATCTCATAATTAAAATATCAAAGTTTTGACAATTTTGAGAAAAATACTCAGTCAACCTAATACAGACAAGCCATAAGATCATCTGTATTTCGGTTATATGACATGGGGAATGGGTGAGCCAGTCCTTACACGTGGATCTCATTTCATAGAGCTTATTATCAATAACAAGAAAGACCCGTTGCACATGAGGCATCATTGGGGACTTTTAGATTTGCGTGGACTGATACGTGTGACGTCCATTCAAGGCAGTGCAATAAAAGGACGTTGATCGTAGCAATCCCCATTGTCTTCGTGCGAATCTAAAAGTCCCTATTGGCCTGACGTAAGACTACGTCATCAACTAGAGTGTCCTTTGACGCGTCAAGCGGGAGTGATGAAAAGTACAATCATTGCGTTAAATTACTTGCGCATGCGCTGATTGAATTGTTACATCATGGCCGACGCGGGTAAGCCTAACAACACAAATGAATTGACGCATTGTATGCAACAGACATAATTGATACAAGTATAATCTACTGAAATAATTGAATTTGACCGGCTGAGTAGAATAACTATGGTAGTAGCAATTCAAAGCAACTGTTATGAAACAAGGATCTAAAGTGGATTAACATGAATTCTAACGTGAAACAAATTGATGAGTTTATCAAATGATAGTTCAAATTTTAAAAGATGTACCTGAGCTATCAATAGTGACTCCGTTGGGCCATTCTAGGTTTCTACGGACAATAACTGACCGTTGCATCCCGTCAATATTGGCCCTCTCTATTTTAGGTGTTTCTCCCCAGTCGGTCCAGAATAAGAGTCTAAAATCGAAAGATAGACACATTACAATCATCAAACTATTTATTGAATGAATCATTTCAAATGGAATATGTAAATATTACTTTATAAAATGATGTTTCGTTAATTATGGACCACAATGCCAATGTAAATCTGTGTGTGTCTAACGGGTATACATTTATTATCATTTGTACAATAAAACATGAGATGATTATTTGTGTTAATTTTTTCCTTTTCCGTTGACTTTTTGATCTCTAATTTGGGAGTCTTTGCGAGTGACAGAGCTTCACCCTAAACCTTGCTTGTTTCTCATACCGACAAACACTTTACATGAATTGTTTAAATTATAAACCGCAAATGTAACACAAAGAGGGAGATACAATAGGGGTCAAATGCCAGTTGTTAATATTTCAATTTCAAAGTAGGTATTTTTTAATCTCAGGCATGTTTTACAGATCGACGTAGCTTTTAATCTAAAGATTTGTTCGCCTAAAAGCATTAGGTCGAGTCGTGACTGGTATAAAGACTATTTCATAGAGATTGCTGCTTAGACTTCAAGAAAATTATTGTCCTTTGGTATCTTACTGGGATCTAACATTTCTTGATTTATAATAGAAAAGGGCGAATACAATTGTTGCCCAAGTACTTTTTTAATTTTACCACATTGCAATTTTTCTTAAACAAAGTCTTTTTTTATAAGAGCTAACTACTAATTACAGGAAACATTAGCCTAGAAATTACTCAAGTTGTTTTGAGAGATTTATTGCATTCTTGCCCATTAATCTGCAAGATTCCCCATCAAAGTGTATGAGAAAGAATTATAGCAAGAATAATGTACACTTCCTCAGCACGACATTGGGCATCGCCATTTTCTTGATAACGTGACGTACTGTGCGAAGTCGCGATCAAGTAAATTTATACAATTTATTGATTCTTCCTTCCCAGATGTGTTTGGTGATGAAGCATTTCATTTACCTGCTATTATCCTTTGTACTACAATTGCCAGAACACGAATTGCATAAATAATTTGGTTCTCTGCTGGGGTGAAGGTATCACATAAATGAAATAGATTTGTCAACTGCTATTTTTTCGTTTTGTGATTGAACTAAAGAGTATTTCCAATCAAAGATTGGTGCTTGATAAATGTACAACTTCGCCTGGTACGTCACATTTTCAAGAAAATGGCTGCGCCCATGTCATTCTAAAAGGCATCAAATCATGCCAAGAATATCTTTATTAATATATCTCTTGTACACTTTTGGAAGGATTATTGCACATGAAAGGTGCGGAATACATCTCGTTTTGTTCAGAATACCTATACTTATTGGGGTGAGGTTTCCTTTCATGCCTTTAAGATTGGACTCTGACGTAACAATCTTGAACTGTGTTTAATATTAACTGCAAATCAAGAGAATTAAAAACGACAGCATTTTATTTATTTATTTTTTCTCTAGAAGAATTAAAAACGGTAGAGGCAATTATTTCATTAATGTGACGGTATCGTGCTAACCTACCGATGCGTAACCGATACTGCTATTCCACGAGGTTTATCGTGACCGATATCTGCGATTACCGTACGGTTTGAACCGTCTAAATTGGCGGATTCCACAAGATTCAAACCAGCATCGGTCCAGTACAAGCGATTGTTTTCAATATCAATAGCTAATCCTTGTGGGGCTACATGGAAAAAAGAAATACATTATAAGCATTTTCTATTGTTCAAGATACCTTCATAAGGGATAGACAAACAAATGTATTTCTCGTATGTTGTAAAAACACTTGATGTATTATAGGAAAAGGTTGTAAAAGATCACGAAATACGATATCCTGAATATACCGTATATTAGAACCTAAAATCGATCGGAACAATAAAAACTGTGTATTATTCCAAAAAGGGTTTGTTTTATTTCAAAGGTAAACTGACATAAGATTTACAGAGACTCTGAAACATACATTATCTAGACCCACCTCTGATCAGGGCCTGAACATCGTGTGACTTGCTCTAAAATGGAATGTAATCCTACTGATCAGAATCAATACGTTCTACTTACATACAAGATCAGAAATGATCTTCTCATTACCAGACCCGTTGATATTAGATCGGTAGATGGCATCCAAAGCAACATCAGTCCAGTATATGGTACGAGATCGTAAGTCATATTGAAGAGCGATGGGAGTCTCAACGTTATCGAGAGGGAGCAGTGTGAAGTTAGCGCCTTTGAAGCTGCTAGTACCATTTACAAACGCCATGTAGATACCATGAGTCAGGTAGTCACATACAAACATCTCATCTTGGTAGGAGAGGGAAAATATATATATATAAATATATATAATATATATATATATATATACATAATGAGTAAACAGTGAATTTCAACTATTAAATATTAAAAAGTTGTATTAACGAAACAAAATCACAATTCTCTGAAGAATCTCAAGATAGATAATCGAGTTTGGGAATAGAATAAGCGATCAATGGTTGAAGGAGCCAAGATAAAGCAATCGACGTGTTCGTGTATAATGTCTTATTAAACTGAGATTTGGATGAGTTCGAATATGTTAAACAGTGTGAAGTAGTAGTGACAGTAGGCCCGTTGTAATAGGACACTTGTATTACACATCATCATAATTATTATCATCATCATCATCAGTATTTTTACCATTATTGGTTCGCTGACCATGATACAAATTGCTAAAGTTCCAAACTCGAAATGGGATTATGACGTCTTTATTAGCTTCCTCAAACGAAGAGTCGAAGACAACACAGAATCAAATTCAATCTGTAATGAGAATCAGATGCACAGAAAATACAATAAATTAATAAGTATTGCACGAAAAAGTTTCCTTTGTTTTCTTATTTCTGAGTGCCTCTAATACCATGACAACTTAATGAACTTGTACTCATAAATATACACCACTTGTATATTAATACCCAAACTGTCCTAAACCTGAACCTTGTGATTTGGTACCTATACATAAACATGCATTTGTATTTGCATAATTCATAAAGGCAACCAACTATTAAACATTTGTGACTACAAATGTAAACTTTCATAAACATCTTGATAAATGCCTAACGAAAATAAATGCTACGGCTGAAATCCAAAAGCCTATCTCATTATACGTGTTTCAATCACATCTTTCCAAAATATCAACCCAATCTGAAAATCAACATTTGTTCCTAATAATCCACATTACAATTGTGACTAAATTCCTTTATCAGAACTATACTCAATAAGTCTTCACAAACCTACAATACATAACTCTCTGTTTATGTTACAAAGATAACTAAAAAACATGAAGACTGCTTCCAATGCAAAGCCCTATGTATAAAGCTTGGCTCTAGCTGTGCGCATAATTAAGTAGGTGAAATTTACACCCTGCACAGTACAAACCCCTTGCTTGTAAATTACATTTTCCAGAAATCTACATCAATATTTCAAAGCAAAACTTCACTTGCTCTGACTAAATAAACACAATGCAGGTCATTATAAATTGACCAAATCTCGCCTAAATTATTTTCTCTTATATCCCTTTACATTTATCCACTTTCACTCTTCGTCAAAACGGCAACAAATTATACAGTAATGTCCCTGGCATAGCATCACACGTATAATATTCACTTTCACACGTGCGATTCAATGACTACTGAAGTTGAACGAATGAAATTCAACTTATAATTAATACATTTTATCTATATATCAGAAACTCACTTCTTTGGCCGGAACTAAGCAATTTACTGCCGAAACACTGGGCTCACTGGTGTCACTGTCAAACAGGACAAAAACGGGAAAACTGGGAAAACTGGAGAGCTCATCTCCAGTGACTTGACGCTCGACAGACTACACGAACAAGTGACTAAAATGGCTTCGCTACTTATCGAAAGTCGAAAGTAAGGTATCCTTGAAAAACAAATACTCAAAGAAAGGCCATTTCAAATCCTACTATAAAAAACATCGATCATGAATACAACAGACATTGTAAATATTTAAATTGCCAATTCACCTTCTATAAAATACCTAAATGCTTCATTTAGGCTGAAAGAGAATAAATATCTATCTTTCCTGATATTATAATTAACAAAAAGAACCTTTTTTCTTATCTTATGAAACAAAGAATCTGAACTCTAAAAATCTCTTCTAAGATTTTCGACTTGCTGAAAAAACCACAAAATAAATTTCGCTCAGCGAAACATCCTCCCCCCGGATGAGGACTTTTCCTCATATACCTTAGTCTCAATCCAAGACTTAATTATATTAACATACACAAATAGATAAAGACAAATAGATAGAAAACTTTGACTGAAGTTTTACTCTATTTTCTGTTCAAGTCCTTTTCAGAGTTGTCTATAAATCCTATACGCTTTCATCGTAGCCTTCAGAGGGATAAATAACCGCTATCTTCGTAACTGGTCTGCGATATATGCCCACCGCTGTTTTCAACTGTACGTTCCTAACTCTACCATCAGCACCAGGATACACTTGTATCACCCTGGCAATTGTCCACTTTCCACGTACCGCGTTTGCTTCTGCGGTCATGACGACGTCCCCCACGCGTACATTACGACGCTCTGTGTTCCACTTCTTGCTAGGCACGAGGAGCGGAAGAACATCTCGAGACCAGCGTCTCCAGAACGAATCTACTATACGCTGTACGAACTCGACGCGATGACGCGGATTCTCTGTCTCCCTAAACGGACCTTGGGGTACGCTTCGCGACGCTCTTCCTAACAACATATCATTAGGACTGACATAACTTCCATCATCTGGATCATTCGGTATCCTACCAATGGGTCGCTGGTTTACTAGGTTTGCTATCTCAACTAAACATGTGTACAGCTCAAAGGGTGTTAAACACTGACTACCAACTGCTTTGTGTAGAGCAAACTTACAACTTTTAACAAGTGCCTCGGCACATCCATTCTGATGTGGAGCTAATGGCGTGGTGAACTGCCATTCAACCCCTATCTCTGCACAAAAATCTCGAAGCTGCACATCATCCCACCCTTTCACCATCTCTCGTAACTCACGCTTGGCACCCACAAACTGAGTACCGTTGTCGCTCATGATGACCTTAGGGTGACCTCTAATCGCAAAAAACCTTCTGAGGACCTGCAGAAACTCTTGCGTTGAACAATCTACTGCTAGCTCAAGGTGAACCGCTCTTGTATTCAAACAAGTAAAAATCACGCCATAGTGCTTCGCTTTCTTGTTTCGACTAACTTTCACATGATATGGGCCGAAGTAATCACACGACGTAAAATGAAACGGAGGCGTGAACGGAGCTACTCTGATGCTTGGTAGGCTGGCCATCTGCTGTATCTCTGCCTGGCATGCTGCTGCTCTGCATACCACGCAGCGGTGCTTTACCGACTTAGCAAGCCGGTGTCCCTTCAGGATCCAGAACCTCTTTCTTGTCCTGGCTGTCGTCGCTGCTACACCATGGTGACCCGATTCATGCATGTACCTAGTGATCATAAGTGAAATACCATGGTCATATGGGAGTAGAACAGGATGCTTAGCTTCATATGATATGTCCATGTTTCCCACTCTACCACCAACTCTGATCACCCCTTCCTCATCGATGAAAGGAGTGAGCACCTTGAAGTCTCCCTTCTTGAAGTGTGGCTTGATTCTCTCCTGGGCTACCTTTATCCAATACATCTCAGCTCTCTCTAACTCTGTGGTAGTTAGAGTCGTCTTCTCGTCGGGTAGAGACTCCTTATGGATTCTGGACTTCAAGATATTAACGAATCTCATCACGTAGGCTGTCACTCTCAGTAATTTTCTCCATTTAGAGAACTTCTTGCACTCTAGCAATTCACTTGTCTCATGTACTGAGAATACTGCCGGAGACTTCCTCTGCTCACTATCAACAGCCCGCTGATCTGCCTCGGGCTCATCTACTGGCCATTCTGATTCATCAGTGTAGAGAAAGCTAGGGCCATGCTTCCACACTTCAGCCAGTTTGTCAACAGTTACTCCTCTTAACACATCATCAGCGGCATTCATTGTTCCTGGGATGTGCTTCCACTGTGAGGGATCTGTTAAACTCTGAATTTCCCCCACTCTGCTTGACACAAACGCCTTGAAGCTTCTCGCAGGCGACTTGATCCAGTGGAAAACAATCATGCTGTCAACGAAGAAAACCACCTTCTCTATCTCCAGCCTTATCTCCTCGCTGATTGCCTTGTAAAGTCTCGCGGCTACTACTGCTGCTTGAAGTTCGAGACGAGGCATCGTCAAAGTCTTGAGTGGTGCTACCTTTGACTTAGCTGCCACAAACCGCACCTCATACTTATTGTCATCAGTCCGCCATCTAAGGTACGCACATGTACCATATGCACTTTCTGAAGCATCACTGAAAATGCACAGAACTGGCTTGCCTCTTGCATCTTGTGGTGTAAGACATCTCCTCAGTTTGACATTGTTGAGCAAAGTCATCTCCTCAAACAACTTAGTCCACTCAGTTTGCTCTTTCTCTGGTAATGGATCGTCCCATCCAAGACCCATCTGCCATAGCCTCTGTAGACCCATCTTAGCACGTGCGATGATCGGAGCTGCAAAGCCAATGTGATCAAAGACGCGGGCTACCTGGCTTAGAATCTTCCTCTTGGTGAGTTTCAGACGGCTCTCTCCTTCATTGGCTGAAGGCATCACTCCTTCACGGAACTTTACTCTGTATGAGAACACATCGCCTTTCTTGTCCCACACGACACCCAACACTTTCTCTTCAGCAAGGGCTTCTAGCAGCTTCATTTCTCCTTCCTTGTTGTCTCCATGCAATGGTTTATTTGATAACCATCCCTTCACTTTAAAGCCACCATTTGAAAGTACCTCATCTATATCGCCGGTGAGCCTCTCTGCTTCAGAAAGCGTCTCCACGGAGTCACAAATATCGTCCATGTACACATTCCTCTTGAGTACATTGGCTGCTTCTGGGTATTTACTCTCCCCCTGCTCAGCAGTCATCTTGAGAGCAATCTGCGCCATTGCTGCTGCCGGTTTATCTCCAAAGGTTACTACCTTCATGATGTATACGTCTGGCCTTCTACTGACATCCATGTTTCTCCAAAGAAACCTGTGCACATGTTGGTCACTCTCTGGTATGAGCACCCTGTGGTACATCTTGGAGATATCTGCACATATGGCGATGTACTTCTCCCTGAATCTTAACAACACTCCAGGTAGACTGTTCAAGAGGTCAGGCCCTTTCATCCAGTACTCGTTTAAACTATGGCCTTGGAATGATGCTGACGAGTTGAATACTATCCGGATTGGAGTACTCTTTTTCTCAGCTCTCACAACAGCATGATGGGAGATATAATGTACTGGCCCTTCATGGCACTCCATCTCTTGGGGTGAAAGCTTCCTGGCAAACCCCATATCCTCCATTTCCTGGATCTGTTGGTCATAAGCTTTAGCGTGCTCAGGATTCCGGGCAAGCCTCTTCTCGGTGGACTGAAGCACCTTCTCTGCTTGCCACTTATTGTCAGGCAACATCTCAGGATCTCGTTGCCAAGGGTAGGCTATCTGCCACTGCTTTCCAATCTTGTGAGCTGAGGACCTGATCACCTGTTCCTCTATCACCTCTTGTCTAGTGAGTCTGCTCTCTATACACTGGCATCCTTCAGGCCTCACTCCCTCTGTCTCAACTGACCAAAAGTCCGTCAAATCTACAGGTGATGCTAACTTTACATGCAGTACTGCACTGCTCTGCACTCTGTCACCACGTGTTGCTCCAAAGATAACCCATCCTATCCTTGACTTTCTAGCAATAAAGTTGCCAACTTCCCTGGTTTCACCGCAATGAAACCTTGTGTGGTCAACTCCTATCAAAATGTCCACAGGTCCACTACTTCTATGTAGATCCTTCCGTTTTATGCGAAACTTCCTTGCTAGATCGTCCAAGTTGATAGCCTGTACATGTTCGCTAATGCACGGAATTCCTATGGCTGACACAGTAAAAGGCTTGCCACCTTCACCTTTCTCTCTAACTAGCACTTTGTAGATGTTAGTGTGCAGAAGCTCCTGCTCATCTCCAATCTTGCAAATGGTAATGGTTGTAGGTGTGCCCTCTAACTGCAGCTCTGTTGCCAACTCCTGCCGGATAAGGCTTATCTGGGCACCAGAGTCTAGCAACACGTTTCCCTCCTTCATATCACCATTGCATCCTAAGACCTCTGCCAAAACAATGGGTAGAAGAGACTCCTTAGCTACAACTGTAGCGACTCCCACTTGGCCTCGTTGGTTTTGCTCCAAACTATCATCTTGCCTCGGTACCCACTCCAGGTGCAGCAATGGATGGTGATAGAATTTACACCTTTGGCCTTGTCTCATCTCTGAACACTGTCTGCGTCTATTGCATGTTGCCATCAAATGCCCCCTCTCTGCTTGCTTAAGGCAGCTAAAACAAGCCCGATTCTCCTTGGCAATCTGCAATCTTTCTGATGCTGGTTTGGAGATAAACCTCTTGCACTGATCTATCCAGTGGTCTGATGAGTGGCAGATCCAACACCTGTCTTTGGCACTAGGTGTTTGAACCCACTTCCGCTCCTTATCTGGCTTCGTGTCTTTCTGCGCACAGAAACCAACAGCTCCTTTGCGGGATTCACTACGTAGCGGGGCTGAGGCACGCATCCTGGCCTTCATCTCGTTGGCCATCCACTCCAGGAGCATGTGTAGTGATGCTGGATCTTCATCCTTCTCCTGGCATCTGAACCATACCTTGCGGTCTCCTTGGCTCAACTTCCTCTCAATAGAGGCCAACATGTGATTGTTGTCCATGTCATGCTGCCTTCCCACACTTACAAGGATGTTGTAACTTCTCCTCACCAGATGCACTAATTCGCAGAAGCGGCTATCTTCATTCTCCTTTAGTGCTCGGAACTTGCTGATGTCATCTATGATAGCATCAGCTACGAATCTGGGATCTCCATAAATTAAGTCCAACTGCTCCCATGCAGCATTATAATCAGTTCCAATACCCCGGATAAGGTCGAGGGGCTTACCCTGCAGGCAGCTACGTAGGATGGTGATACCATCCCTACTACTATATCGGCTTTCTACCAGATGTTTGAAATCGTCTCGGAAAACGAAAAACTCCCGGACATCTCCGCTAAACTTGGGCAGATGCGGCTTCTCAATCCTCAGGCTGTATGGAGCGGATGCTACTTCAGGAGAGGAGGACTGACCAGACCCAGACTGGACTGCATCTGCAGGACTCTCAGTAGAAGGCGCTGCTTCCACTTTCTCTGGTTCTCCTCTCTCCTTTAACTCGTCAAGATACTTTGAAGCGTTTACTTGCCAGTTTATGAAAGATGTGTCGCAGACCTCCATCCACTTCTCTTCCTTCTCGAACTGATCATCATCGAGGATCAACTCCGAATAAATTTCGTGCTTCTCTTGCAGCTCTTCATACACGATCTTGAGATGATGGAATCTTTCCTCAACAGCTTCCATGCTTGCTTTCTTTGAAATGAGCTGCTCTACTGCATTTCCACATCTTGTCAATTTAGCCTTGGCACCTCGCCGCTTCAACTTCAGCTGTGCTGTTGCTTCTGATTCTGGCATCTTGCTAGAACTGGTGATAGCTCTAGAAATTGAATGCTATGGTTCGCTGACCATGATACAAATTGCTAAAGTTCCAAACTCGAAATGGGATTATGACGTCTTTATTAGCTTCCTCAAACGAAGAGTCGAAGACAACACAGAATCAAATTCAATCTGTAATGAGAATCAGATGCACAGAAAATACAATAAATTAATAAGTATTGCACGAAAAAGTTTCCTTTGTTTTCTTATTTCTGAGTGCCTCTAATACCATGACAACTTAATGAACTTGTACTCATAAATATACACCACTTGTATATTAATACCCAAACTGTCCTAAACCTGAACCTTGTGATTTGGTACCTATACATAAACATGCATTTGTATTTGCATAATTCATAAAGGCAACCAACTATTAAACATTTGTGACTACAAATGTAAACTTTCATAAACATCTTGATAAATGCCTAACGAAAATAAATGCTACGGCTGAAATCCAAAAGCCTATCTCATTATACGTGTTTCAATCACATCTTTCCAAAATATCAACCCAATCTGAAAATCAACATTTGTTCCTAATAATCCACATTACAATTGTGACTAAATTCCTTTATCAGAACTATACTCAATAAGTCTTCACAAACCTACAATACATAACTCTCTGTTTATGTTACAAAGATAACTAAAAAACATGAAGACTGCTTCCAATGCAAAGCCCTATGTATAAAGCTTGGCTCTAGCTGTGCGCATAATTAAGTAGGTGAAATTTACACCCTGCACAGTACAAACCCCTTGCTTGTAAATTACATTTTCCAGAAATCTACATCAATATTTCAAAGCAAAACTTCACTTGCTCTGACTAAATAAACACAATGCAGGTCATTATAAATTGACCAAATCTCGCCTAAATTATTTTCTCTTATATCCCTTTACATTTATCCACTTTCACTCTTCGTCAAAACGGCAACAAATTATACAGTAATGTCCCTGGCATAGCATCACACGTATAATATTCACTTTCACACGTGCGATTCAATGACTACTGAAGTTGAACGAATGAAATTCAACTTATAATTAATACATTTTATCTATATATCAGAAACTCACTTCTTTGGCCGGAACTAAGCAATTTACTGCCGAAACACTGGGCTCACTGGTGTCACTGTCAAACAGGACAAAAACGGGAAAACTGGGAAAACTGGAGAGCTCATCTCCAGTGACTTGACGCTCGACCATAGAGATATATACTTAATAACACTAGAGGGCGTACTCGCTCAAATTGCTGTGTGGACCTGGAGCTGTGGCCGCCATTACTAAGGAGGGCAGAAAAACGAACGACCCAACAAGATACTGATTACTGTGCACAACATACGTGGAAAAAATTGGAGAAGCCAGGTTCGTGCGTTGCATTTGGATGTTCGAACCGAAGAAAGAAAGGGAACTGCATAATATTTCACAAGTAAGTTCTTCTTAATGTTATGTTGATTAATAAGGAGATTTTAGAGCTAAAAATGTAGTTTATGCAGTGACTGTAGTCTGTACCCGGGTTGTCTCATGACAAGCCACCGCAGCTCCTGCAGCAGCGGAGCGCGCCAGTCCACGCCCGCCGGGCTGGGGCAGGCATGGGTTAAGGTTCTGGGGATGGTGATGGGAAAATTCTGCTGCGCTGGAGTCGCTCGCAACTCCAAGAGCCAGAGAGTCCAACTCGGAAATATAACTCCATGAGCTTGATTCTATTAAAGAAAAGTCTAGAATAAAACGATACAATTAATTTTATCTTATCTAATTTCAAGATAAAAATCAAATGTCAACTTCTTTAGATCTAGAAATTTTAACTATAGACTAGACTCTAGAAGGTCTAGATCTAAGTTAGATCTAGACTCTAGATCTAAACTCTACTCTCTAATTTCTAAAGCCCGAAAGGCAAAGCCAGGTTAGACAGATATAACCATCTGATATGGGTCATTTCTTTAATAAAACTGACATTTGTTGACATTCCCCATAATATAATCAGAGGTCTAGTGCCGTGGAGCCAGACGCAGTCTCGGTAGAACAACCGACGATATAGAGAGACTGAAGCTTTTGGTCTAAGCCAGGCTAGCCTGCCAAATTTCACATCACAGGAGTTATCCAACTAGGCTAGGCTAGCCTAAAAATCCCACCGCACACTACACTATTTCTATCAAATTTGCTTATGACTTGCTGACATCATTATTATTTTATTTATTTGGCTGGAAGCTGCTTTCAGTTTCAGTCTTAAAAATCACATGAAATAGCATGAATAGTAGAACAATTGTCATGTTATGAGAAAAAACTCATTGTTTCCATTTGCTTTTATTGTAATGCAGGAATACACCCAAGAGAGGAAAGGATGTTACACACCACATCTCATTCTTAGAGCTGTGCCTACTGTCTTTCCTGGACATCCTCCCTATAAACAGACCCATGGCTCAAGACTCCCAGCAAAACCATGTACAACATCCAAAAGTGTTCCCGTGCCTCCAAAGAAACCCTATGACATTACAAAAGAACATGACTATTCTTTTTCTGTCTGAGTTGATTAGAAACTGAATATAACCAGACAGCAAGTGCAAGATGCCAAGAAACAGCTTAAAGTGGTGAAACAAGGTAAACAGGAGAGATGGAAAACCCAGGACTCTCTTGCAGGAAGTCCACGAAAGCAAGCTCATTAGCCAGGATCAGCTTGACCTACTTCAACACAACTTTGGAGAGAACGCATTTTCAGGAAAAACAAAACAAAACATAGAACTTCATTCGTACAAACTACAAAGACAGATCGGTCTTTTATATTTTGCCTCTTGTCTGCATAGCTTATCCACTGGATGATTGACTGTGAAGCCGTTTAAAACTGAAGAGAGCTTTCAATAATCTTTTAAAAAAACAGAACAATCTGATACTTTTGTTCTGTGTAATGAAATAAAATTTTGGGACACATTGTGACAGTTGCACAACCTAACCATAATTTTCTGTTTGTTAACTTTACACGAAGGCAAACTAAAGTGGAACTTAGAAGAATTGATTACATTAGGGGTTAAACAAAATGTACTTGAATTTTGAGTTGTTGTGAGGTACACTGTATTTGAATATTTACTCTATAAGCTTCATGATTGTACCTGCTGTATCTGATTCAGTTGCTATAATTCGTCCCTATTTTCAGTAGGTGACGGTAGTAAGGAAAATCTTAACGCATAGTGAATGCATTTTTTTTCACTGCCGTCACTTCGTGAAAACAGCGACAAATTTTTGCAAATTATTTGCACTCTACATGTGCTTTGATTCTGCAGGTACAGTATGGATAACCTGAGATAAACATGTAGACCTTTTTTATAACATTGTCTGGATTGCTCTCAACCAAGTGATTTACATCATTAAAGATGAAAAGCAAGAAATTCACATCAAGTGAGCCCATTTTTAATAAACGAGAAGAATTCACAGATGTGTGGCAATTGAAAAGCCTGTGTAATGCACACCATATACACACCCATAGATCGTTCTGTACATAGGTTTGAATTTTGTTCCAAAATGGAAAACTGCTTTTGAAGAGATTTGATAACAGAAAAATTATATGGAATAATGTCACTAGATGTAAACCCATAAGATTGTGCACTCTTTGGCTTGTTGTATCTACTGTGTACATTTGAGGGTAATCAGTTTCAAATTTATTATTACACCTGATGAATAATGATGTCAAAAGACCATGTTACTATGAGGTTTCACTGAATAGTGTAGTGCAGTATCCTGAGATGTAAGTCTCTTCAATTATAGTTCTTCATAGCAATACAGGTGACTTGGAATATATATGCTCAATTACTATTTCTGGTTTGCATTTATTACTTGATGTATTATTTGTAAATGTGACGCGCCTGCGTGCGCTTGGAGCCAAGACTAGTTAATAAAGTGTTCGTTATCGCTGACATCTTGACACATAGACATTGACCTCCTGACATTTATGTTTTGGAAGTTATTGTGGTGGTTTTGGGATGTGTAATGCTTGTCTTTGGTGGCGAATCAATTTGTTGTGGTTGTGTTGCCTATGATCCGTGACAGTAAATTTGGGGCTAAAATCTGAGGTGTTGTTTTTGCAATGTTTGTCTTTTCAATTGTGATGTATTATTGCAGTATATATGTCCGATAAAATGTCAAAACTTAAATGCCTATGCTGTAGAATATCAACACACGTGTGCCGTGTGGTAATAAAAGGTTCATTTATTCATTTTTTTCTTCAAATTTAATTATAAGTTTATTCTCTAAAACTTGTTGATGAAGAAAATAAGAAATACACTGTATCAAGGAGAATATTATTTATGGAGAAAAAAAGTGGTGTGAATAAATAATTATTACATCAATGATCAGCTGTTTTTAAAGAATATTCATATATATTTATAGTGAACTGTAAAAAATTGAATTACTCTTTCAGACAAAAATAGAGATTTTATAGAGAATGGGTGAAAGACATAAGGTGTGAATTTGATATAAAATGAGTGAGAGAAGAAGAAAAAGAATGTTTGGATGGATGGATGAGTAAATAACATAATTTTTTTAAATAAATGTGTAGGCCTATAATTCTTTCCTTCCCCCTCTTCCTATCTTCAGTATCGTCCTTTATCTGCATTTCCATTATCTACCTATCCTTCTATATTATATCTATCTATCCATCTATTTATGTGTCTAGCTATCTACATACCCATCTCTATCCCAAATCTATAAGTATCAATCTGTTTATAATAGTCATAAACATAAAATGAATATATTACCTTTAAAGCATTTTAAATCAATAAACCCTGGCTCTCATAATAACTGAATTAGAAAGACATTGGCCCCCGGCATTGGCCCTGTAGCATAAAACTTTTTTAATATGACATAAATATCAAATACAAGTCCCAAATGCTTGATTGTGATTGGTTGAAAGCCAAGTAATATTTAATGTCATAATATCGCAGTTTTATATTGACAAAGAGGAAGAAAAATTGAAGATATACTGAAATATAAATAGCTTTTTGTGTCCCTTTTACCTCACCATAACATCCGTAATTAATCTTGACCTACACCAGATACCATGACTGAGGCATGAGTAGGGTTCATGCATTATGCAAAATACCACAATTATAACGTTTCATACTCGAAAACCGATAAATCAACCCGAAAAATGAAGCTTCACATTGCATATCAGTAGCACAGTTTCGAAGGGAACATCCGGGTATTTCTCGAAGTTGTGCCCTCCTTAGTAATGGCGGACCGCGCTCCATGCGCGCACAGAGCTTTGAACGGGCGCGTATGACGAGTCCGCACTCTAGCCTTATTAAGTATATATCTCTATGCGCTCGACAGACTACACGAACAAGTGACTAAAATGGCTTCGCTACTTATCGAAAGTCGAAAGTAAGGTATCCTTGAAAAACAAATACTCAAAGAAAGGCCATTTCAAATCCTACTATAAAAAACATCGATCATGAATACAACAGACATTGTAAATATTTAAATTGCCAATTCACCTTCTATAAAATACCTAAATGCTTCATTTAGGCTGAAAGAGAATAAATATCTATCTTTCCTGATATTATAATTAACAAAAAGAACCTTTTTTCTTATCTTATGAAACAAAGAATCTGAACTCTAAAAATCTCTTCTAAGATTTTCGACTTGCTGAAAAAACCACAAAATAAATTTCGCTCAGCGAAACAATTATTAATATTATTATTATTATTTTTGTTGTTGTCACTATTACTATTATTATTAAAAGTGTGTTTTTGGTGCAGTAGTAGTAGTATTGTTAATAGTAATAGCAATAGTAAAAGTAATAGAAATAGTAATAGTTATAGTAACGGTAATATTAATAGTAATAGTTTGAGTAATATTAATAATAAAAGAATCAGTAATAGAAATAGTAATAGTATTGGTAATAATATTATTAACAGTGTTATGTAGTACATGCATAAATCCTTTCTCCCTTCCAGTCATTCATCCCCCTTCCATGATATAAAACAGAACCCAATTATCCCTAGACACTGACCCCATTATCCTGTGATTATAAAATTGACCATTAATGACCACCCAACTTCAAGGAACCACATTCCAAGAAACATGACTCATAGGCCCAACCCACTCTACATTAACACTCCCCATAATACCATAGCAACCCTGACCATAGACAAATCAAAAGCATGTTGAAGTCACTCATCCAACATTGTTTCACTCCCCAACATTTTCCTGACA